TATATAAAAACTAATTAGACTTTTCAACTATATATTTCATTCAATATATCATAGACACACATAATTAAAGTGTGTAATAAAAAATAAAAAACTGTATAGCCTATGGAATGGTGCACACATGTGGTACTAAACATGCTTTCCAAGCAACCGATATGTCCAGCTCTCTCATCCAGAGTTTTCTTGTTTGGCATTTAGATTGGTTGACCTCATGGATTTGTAGACACTGGTTACCTGTGAAGATCAATCATGTCATTTTGTATTCCCAATCAGAGATAACTGACTGACTTTTTCAGGGGAAATATCTACATAAGCTACACACAGAGTTAGTCTACAAACAATTTCACAGTGATTTCTCCTTTGCAAATGGAAGTGGTGGTGGGGCCAAAGCTGCTCTGTGGGCGTCTTGGTCGTGATCCGCATACTTCTCATTGTTTTGGGCTCTCTCCCATGTTTGTGTCCCACAAGATCACATCAAGAATTGTATTGTATGCCCCTGTGTGTCTTTCACCCCTTTCTGGGCAACAAAGCCTCTGGTCTTCAACACAAGGCCACTTGCAGTGCAACCTGCCCACTCTCTGCATTCCTGCACTGATCTCTTAAAGAGCAGTGGGAGGTTTGTAGATAGCCAGCCCTTCAGCCAACAGATGAGCTTCTGTGGACTGGCCAGAGTGAACAAACACAAGCTTCTCCATTTATAGACTCAGGGTTTGCTATAAATTGAGACTGAGAGGCCAGGCTAGTTGAATATGCTCATAGGCAAACTTGTGAAGGGCATGTTTTGAGAGGATGCTGTGAACGTTTGCAAATACTCAATGTGTTCTCAACAGTTCACGGTAGAATTGCACACTGAATATACAGTAATAAACAACTGAAACGTGGAAATCTGTTTGGGTTTAATTCCACTCATGTATGCTTATGATTGAGCAGCACAGATTGTTGTAAGAACCCACCTGAGGGTCCCCATATCAAATTGTCAACTTAAATAATACTAAAAATTGACCATGTTTCCTACATTATTTTATCTCTAACGTGTTGTTTTAATGCTCTGCATTGTCTACACTTTGGGAGATAAAACCAAATTATGTAATTGGTACATAGTGCATTTATTATATGCACTATGTACTAGTGTATATACTAGTAGTTTAAGTGGGAAATATTTGGGATATTATTCAATATCTGTTAGCATTTCCTTAATAATGCTCCTTTCTTCCTTAAACTGTCATTAAACTGCATTTTAGATAGAAAAATCACAAAGAATATTTGGATATATTGAATATAACATTTGGATGCATTTACAATGTTTAGCCTGATTTAGATTCAGCTTTCCAACTGCAATCATATGGCATAATTTCAAAATTACTGCAGGTCTAGATTTGATTGTATATTAAATTGACTGGATATGTTTACAAATTCTGTGTATCATTTTTGCCTGCACTGTGTTTTTTATATTTCCTGAGCTATTTCATATATGCCTCATTATTTTAGCTTATGCCTATTTGCTCAGTATTGCTGGATCTCTAGCTGGAATGAATTTCCTCTACTAATGACCTTGTGGAAAACATCTTGAGGACAAAGGAAATTGCAGCCTCACATCTGGGTGATCATAACGAAGGAAAAGCCTTCCTTTATATGATCAGAATTTTTTATTTTTTGGCAACAGATAGTACAACAACAAAAAGAGAATACTTTTTTTTTAAATGAATGAGTAAATAATAAAAACAGCATATTTTTACTATGAAACACAGTGGCCTTTGTTCTTTGGCCAAGCTGGCAGCACAAACAACTGTCGATTGTTTTTAAAAAAGCAGGAAAAAACAGCATGCTAAAGCCAACAGCATTTTTAGCAGCACTTTACCCTCAACAGAGACGGATTTGTCCGTGTGTTCATAATGTTTCTCTGAAAAGCACGGTGGGCACCATGCTGAGTATCACACACAGCAGTTGGTTAATGAATTGCAAAGTCATTGAAAATGAATTAATTTGTGGATATTTCAAGATGGGAAGGGAACAGAGCAAGCGGGCGAGCGCATGATTGCACTGTTTATCCGGGATACAACTTGCAAGACTTACTTCAAGAAATCAATCCAAGAACTAGCTCACAGCATTTTGAAATTAAATTTATCAATGAAATAACAGAAGGCGTGCCTCCTCAACTGTCGCATGACATCATCAGGGTGTGGCTGTGTTGTTTAAACTTCTGGAGACGTTTCATTAAAGCACACGGCAACATATGTCTGAAGCTAACAATTCCAAACCCCTCACGTTGCAAAATACCCTATGTAATTTCTCAATGTAAACTATTCGTATAATGAACATGAGTCATCACAACAATGGTTTGATTGTGCTGAAGCCGTTCTTCACAGCGCTCTGCTTCTTTCTCATAGACAGGCCTTGTTGTGCTCGGCCCAAGTCGAGGCAGATGTGGACTAGAACAATAGCAGCTCCTTTTATCAGAGAGCAGGGTAGTGACACCCTCCGCGGGCACACAAGGGCTCGAAAGAATGCCTGGCACTGGCCCAGAATCACTGACGCTATTACAGACCCACCTCATCTCCCGTGATGCCATGCAACGGAGGGGATGACACCTTCAAAGGCCAGCCCTTCTTCCTTAGAAGTGCCGAAGACTATCGAGAAGGTTTGCAGAGTGTCCCCAGAGCGGACTTTGGATTGAGTGGAGAAGGACATTCGTGGGCCGTCCAGACTGTAGACCACCAAACAGAGCAACACCTAGAATGGCCACTGCAAGCACCTCTGGACAAAGCCCCTTCGGGCTGGGCAGGAAGAAGAGGTCCCCTGGTCTCCTGGATCAGATTGGCAGGTTCTTCGGAGGAGACAAAAAGAGAAAGGGAAAGGCGAGTCACTTTTTTTTTTCTAAAATGTGTTTCTCAAACACTGGCATGGTCAATGACAACTTCTTGCTCGCAATTTCTTGGGGAAAAAATTAGACTATAGCTGAATTTCAGTATAGTTTAGGACTATAGTTATAGTTGTGATTGCTTTTGTGTTGCATTCAATTGGATGTGGTTTACAGACACACACAAATTCTCAAATTCAAACTAACTCTGCACTGCAAATGGGCTGCATGTTCTCATAGTCTGATAGTCAGAGTCTCATTTTACAACTGCATTAAAAGATTAACATTTTTCTCAGTTTTGCATATTGGTTGGTACACATGACGGTATTCTGCTATGTGCATGCAGTTCGCCATAGTATAGTATATGTGTATTGCTCACAATTTAAGCCCTAGTATTTGAGGTTCTGTTTATTTGCCATCAAATAGTCTTTATTTATAAATAATGTACAATAATGCACCGTTTTAAAACTACATTTAAAACAGTTAATATGTATGCCAGTGAAATTAGAAATATATTCCAGTCTTGTTACCAGATAAGAGAAAGATTCTCCAAGTTTCATTTCATGCAGCAATTGAACAAAGAATTTGGTCTTAAATCCTGCTGATATTGAACAAATAGCTAAATCTGGTTCAAAATAATGTTCCTTCAAAGATCAATGTTCAAAGCCTGTTCAATCTGCTTTAGCAACTGATTATGAGATTTTTTTTTTTTTTTTGCTTCTTCAATAGCAATCAATCGTGGCGAAATAGCACAAATGTTAAAATCAATGAATTCTCACAGCATTAAGAAGCTTTGGGCACAGCTGTTTGCAGTGCAAGTGATATCATTACAGGGGTTTGCTGTTCTGCTGGTAAAGTGCGATTCAATTACTGCCTCTAGGTAGAGCTTCATCTATTGACACTCATACCTCCTTCAAAGCATGTCAATTTAGGTGCAAAGGTAAATTTAGATAAGCATAATATTTTATAAGCTACATTTTGCCACAAAACTCGAAGAGATTGGCATTGTAGTTAAATTGTGTCTTCGTCTAAATTGTGAATCTTTAATGATTGGATTTCCAGTCCAAGAAGTTGTCACGCTAATGTATGTTGCAACTTGACTAGACGTTTCTCTTTCATTTATTTGAAGGGCTCATTTCGTGGTCATCTATCCTCCTCTCCACAGAGACCCCAGCACTCTTCCACCCGTCGTCGTGGAGATGCCAACCCTGTGGTGCATTTCTTCAGGAGCTTTGTAAGTATCCACGTGTGCTGGCATGGATTCTTACAAGTCTCAGCCTTCAAAGAGTGATGTGAAACCAACAACTGCAACCCCAGAAAAGTTCGACCTAAGACATGAGAATGACATTTTCACACTTCCCTTTGTCCTCATCTTTAGCTCCCACTGATCCAAAGAGTTTGTTACCGCTCTCAGTGCACTGAGCAGCAAGAAAACATTACCTCAACCAATGTATCAGGTCAAATATATTAGAAGAGCTTAAGCTTGCTTTTTTTAACCAAACTTCACCATGACAATCGAAACATAAGCCAAGCTTTGGTCCTAGACATGCCACATTGTGTCTGGCCATTTGCCGCCTGAGTCTGCAGGCCAAGTTTGTCGTCATGTTCAACATGCAGCCCATGTTTTCTTTGCTACAATAGTCCAGACTTGTTTTTCTGTGAGACAGACAACATTACACACACTTACATCACTAGTGTTAGATTCTCTGCTATGTAGTATAGAATGAGTCACTCTTTGAAAGTCACTGTTTCAGATGAAAACTTGAGAATATACACTTGTATGTGTAGAAACATTTGCGTGACAGAGAAGTCGATCGCTCTCCTTTAACATCACCTTCTTCACTTTTTTATTTCGTGATGTAAGCTGTGATGTGAAAATGTGGCAAATTCCACTTTGAGGTGGCATGACCTCAAACCAGCATGTAGACTTATTTAATTACTCATTTTCTTGATTTTCCCCCTGAAAACACAAAATCAGTTCTGTGGAAACTAGATACGAGTGTTTACGTTTCCCTATTACTCATGTCCTAAATTAAAAATGGGTTTCTGGGAAACACTAATTGCACAGTTGTTCCTCAGGTCTGTGGGCTTGTTCATTAAAAAGATAGAGTCTCTGCCTTCATCATTCATCTGAACTGCAAGGAAGCCTAATGATCGACCCCTGTAAACATCTTTAAAATAAAAAGTCTTTATTCAAGGATTGCTTATCTTGTTTGTATTATGCGGGATAACGAAATGTCTCGTTATAATACTCAGGCCTCTAAATTAAAAGCTGTGGCTCTGCTTTTTGAATTCTTAAAATGTTCCTTGACTAAACATTTTCATTTGTTTCCTTGAAGGTGTCCTCGCCTCGTCCCAAGTCAAGGGTAAGTCTCACATCCCATTTTTCTTCTGGCATGCATCTAATCCCATTGTTTAAAATGCTCGTGGTATATGCATTTTAAGTTATTTCAAGACAATTTGCAGCGATATTCTGCTGAAAAAGTGCTTCACTCAGGATATAAATGGTGACAGAGCAAGAATGTGAAATTTGTAACACTCTATTAGGCCATCATTACCTAATTACTATTAAGCATGGGGTTACAACCACCCTCTTAAATGAATAATACAGCTGTTTCCTAGCAGACAGAATAGATTTGACCCATAACCATTTTCTATGCATTCTCGTATCCAGCAATGAAATTGTACTTTCATCTAAGAAGAAAGTTAATCATTCTACATTCTTTTTTGTTTCATGTGCAGTGGAGAGAACTATTGGGCCTGGTATGTCATTCATCTTTGATGTGATTCACGTTTGCATTCACAGACACTCTCATAAACGATCTGATTGGCTGACTGCAGACGTCTTCCTGTCCTATGTCTCGTTTCTAATAGATCTGTCACGTTTCTTAATCATTTGTTCTCTTCTTTGTGAATTAACCAATGCATCGCTCTAATTACAGCTGCTGAACTTTTCGCTGCGCTTCATGAGAATGGGTTCATTTTACGCAAATCTCCAGATTGATCTCATTTTTAGTTGTGTGGAGGGCCATCAAATTTAGGCCCATGCCATTTTTAGTGGAGTTATTAAGCATTATTGCATTGTGGTTTCAATTTAGCCACATTTAATGCTTTCAATATAATTATTGCACATGTTAACTCACAATCTCATAAGATTAAATATGCAGAATGTCAAAATGCATGAAATAGGCATTACTTAAGAAATCTGTTGTAATTTTACCCTAATTTTTCATGTGATTATGAATTTCCACAGCTTTTAGCTGTGCTATAGTACATGAAAGAGTGATCTTAAGCACTGAAATGATTAGAACATTATTACAGTTTTCATATTTTTGCTTGTTTTTCAGTTCTTTCTTTCTTTCTACTGTATATTTTTTGCCTTGATTGTTGCGCTCTTTCTTTTCTGATGGGATTTCTCCTGAACCAGAGTGACTCTCTGCTTCTTGATGACTTTGAGACAGCAAGGGTTTTTCTGAGTCGCAGCCGGTAATGCAGCTTTCTCTCTAGGGGTCTTCGAACTGTTCACTCCCCCCATAAACCCATATTCCAACCCATCTACTCCCTTCCCAGGTCTTGATTCACTGACTCACCAGCGCCCCCTGTATTTTTGTCACATGTTGTTTAACTCCACAGGCTCCAATACATAAAGGCATGCAGCATTAGATGTATTTGGACATTAATAACTGACACACACAAAAAAAAGTGTTTTTCTTTGGCTGGCAAAACTGTTTTGTTCAGATCATTTCCTATGGTCGATCAAATATGTAAATAACCCATGTTATGATTATCCTCCTATGCTGCACTCTTGCCATCTCTAAATCACCCCCTCCTATAATACTCGATATGTGGCAAACATGTAACATTTTCTGTGCTGCAACCTCCTTTTGCACTCTTTATTTGTAGATGTCGGTGCAGAAATGCACTGATGCATCACCAGTCAAAACATATAGCACAGAATCTATACTGCAACATTTGCCAATTTTGTACTTTTTTAATTCACAGTTTGATATAATATCACAAAGAAACTAGTATATCATTAAACAGCAGTGGGCTGCTATCCTCTCTGTGTTCATAAACTATATGTTTTAGGCATCCCCGTCAGCACGTGGCTCGGAGAGCATTAGATCGCCTCACAGACGCAGAAGGGAACAGAATACACTCTCCAGAATCTTCAACCTGGTGAGCCTAAAACAGTAGATAAAGACTCTCTGAAAAGATTATCATACATATTTAAGATCTTTTTTTTTTAGCTTTTTAAAAAAGGTTATTCTCATTTAAACGCAATTACAGTTGATTGATGCGCCTTTATGCAAATGCTTACAAAGAAAGCAATTTCAACATCGAGATGTAATTAAGGCTATTAAAAATGTTCGATAATGGGATGTTGCATAGATTATTGCTTTGAAACCATCCAGAACTCACTTTATGCGCTTGAAGAGGCATGTGAAAAAGTGAATGAGAATGTCCTTGACAAGACTATTGACTGCTTCTGTTTCTGACCCAGAGTCACCTTCTGTATGCAAGTCCAATAATATCCATCTCTCACTAAAGTAATGACACCTATCCTGTCAGTGAGGGCTGTGCAGTCTTTCATCAGTCATTGAAGGTCTTTTATTCAGTTAAGCTTTTCAAAATCAATATTTATTTAGGTTATAAAGAAGGCCTGTCTCATCTGTTTCAATTTTACAGTCAAAGTTGAGTCTTTCTATGCGCCCTAACCTTGCTTATGGTCACTCAGTCATTGAGAGTCTCATTGTAACATAAGCATTTTGAACTTATGCCAGGTGCAGGGAATAAAGTATTCACATCTCTTCATGTTCATTCTCATTGATTGCCAATAAGATTTGATTCCTAAAAAGAATCGTTCACACTGAAGTGAAAATTCCACTAACATTTACTCATCCTTATGTCTTTCCAAACCCGTGGCTTTCTTTCATCCATGGAAAGTAAAGATGTTAATCATCATGTCTTGAGGTGCATTTTCCATACAACGAAAGCGAATGGGGACCAATACAAAAAAGATAATTTAAGGACTAAAAAAAAAAAAATGATTTGCTTGATAGCCATGGTCACCATTCGTTTTCATTATATGGAAACAATGAAAGTAGGAAAATAGGCCACTGATAAAAACAGTTTTACAGGTTTGGAATGAAATGTATTTATGTATTTGTATACATAAACTAGCATTCAAAAGTTGCTCACCTAGTATTATTTGATCAAAAATACTGTAAATGCAGTAATATAGTAAAAACAAATTACAATTTAAAATAATAATTTTCTATTTTAATATTTTAAACATGTATTTTTTGCCTGTGATGACAGCTGAATTATTATTAATGTTGAAAACATGATAATATAAGTCAAAAGAGCAGCATTTATTTTTTGTGTTTATAAATGTCACTTTTTAACAATTTAAGGAATCCTTGCTAAATACAAATATAAAAAACTTACTGACCCCAACCAACTGAATGGTACTATATTTATAAATGTACATATTTGCAAGTATCTGGTCCATATAATTTTTTTAACAGGTACTGTTTTTAACATTTTAAATGTGACATTGAAGCAATGACACTGATGTTCGCGTTTAGCTCAAATCATCTACCTCATCTGCCCTTAGTATATTTATACATGTATGTATTTGCAAGTATCTGTTCCATATTATTTTTAAACAAGTACTTTTTTAACGTTTTAAGTGTGACATTCAAGCAGTATGACACTGATGTTCGCGTTTAGCTCAAATCATCTACCTCATCTGCCCTTTTGCCTAATTTTGTTTTCTCCCTTCTCTTCTGCACTTTTCACATGACAATCTCTCCTGAACAGAGGACACAGAGAACACAATCAAATCAGCCTGGCTTTCCACATCCATTGTGCTGCAGAGTTAGAACGCTGAGTGCTCAGATCACTCTTTTCGAAATGTAGCATAGCTTGTAATGGCTGATAACGCTCCTACAATATGAATTACTCAACAATGCCATTTTTGTTATTCAATTCTTGAGTTTTGACATTGAACATTGAGATCCTTCACCCATTCTGCTGATGCTCTGTGCTATTTCTGTGCAAGCTTCAGCAGTTATTCTTTTGTAATGTGTTTCAGAACTAACATTGATTTTGACCTTGCATAATCAAGCACCAGTGTTGAGAAGGTTTCGTGTTACGCAATTGACACGACGATGACCATACTGGTTTTCTCTCCGATCTCAGGGAGAAAGCCGATCTCGTTCTCCACCCAAACGCTGGAGCACCATCTTCTGAGCCCTTCTCCGACCAGAAAAACACCAAGATAGAAGAGAGTGGAACGGATGAAAAGCAAAAACTTGAGAGGGAGGATCTCTGCCCTATAGATTCACAAGTCGCAGCGAGTTTAACAGACTAACATTGGCCATCTTCGCTTCCTAGATAGAGATACAATCCAAGTATCTGTTGTTACATGCCTGCAGGGTTTCATAAGCATGTGTTGACTGTATGTGTGCAAAACTGCTGCGATAGTTGTCATTGGTCAGGAGATGAGATAGTCAAACGTCTACTTGCTATATTGGAAGTCTCCCTCTAAAATTCAGTTCAAAAATGTTCAAGAGGATCATCATCCCTCAGAAATGCAGATTAACCAAAAGGTTTGATTATTAGTCTTAATTGACTGAACTAGACAGAGTATTTCTCTGTTTGAACCTTTAAACATAAAAGTAAGATATAACTGGCATCGAGACCCATTATTGTATAATTCTGAATTTACCTCAGATGTATCTTACACAATGGGTTGCTTGTGTGCTATCCAGCATTTGAAGCCTGACATTAGTCATTGTGCTACAGTGAAGAAGCCTCTCCATGGTTGAGATCAATGTTCAGCCTCAGTGATGTGCAGTGTATTTGTGGATGTTTACATTAATTGTGGTCCTTGTGTTGTGTTATACATTGGTTATTTCCTTTGTACCAAAAACTATGTATATAGGATTCGTTTTGAGCAATTAAAAAAAAAAAGACGACCAGTTAACATTTAATACCTAATATTAAATTTGATTTATTTGAGTAATTATTTAGCTCTTTAATTAGAAACATGCCTTAAAAATTGTTAATCAAAGACTAAAAACATGATTTTGTGGACTAGGGTATAGATTCTAAGCATATCTGACGCTTGGATTGTATGCCCTCAAATGTTGCACTGCAGTATGTGTGTTAAAACAGCCTGTAAATGTTGTCTGCGTCATTATGTCTGCAATTTTGATGTTATTTTAGAAAGGTCTCATGTAATTACCAGGGGTAGGATTAATATTTAAATAACAGACATGCAGAAATCTAGGACAAACAGTCAGTGGGAGCATAAAGGGTATGAAACTGGCGGGGAAAAGGAAAGAAACCTGAAAGTGTATGAGGGATAATGTGAGAAATAATAAACGAGGAATTCTGAAAGAGTACGGTGGAGTTTATTCAGCTGATTTTTTTTTTCTTCTCTGTGACGTTTCTCACGTGTCTTAATAATGTTCATCGTTTCGTGTCTCATAGACTCTTCCTGTATGTACTGTTTCTGAAATATTGCTGAATAAACATTAGGTCAAATATTCTCCCTGTCAGCGCTGGATTTGTCTCCAAAATGGTGCTACATTTATATAATGCACAGGATATTCTGAAGTGGCCATGTGTTCTGATGTAATATCTTTAACCCTCCCTTTATTTATAAAGTAACGTTAAATAAAGAATCGGAAATGTATGTAGTCTGTGTCTGATTGTGCATCTGTTCATCCCATGAGGTTCTCAAAAATCAGTTTCTCTGTCTTTGTCTTACTAAATGTGTTTGTGCTTTTTGATTTTAGTTATTTATCTATTTATTTTGATTGGACAGTTATAAATTAATTTTTGTCCATTCATTTTTAGTCCACACACCAGATAATGATAAAATATTTACTAGTTTGTCTATGCATCTTCATCTTGATACATTTCTGTAAAAATGAGGAGTCACACACACAGGACAATTAAAATAGCTATAAAATTAAACAGAAACATAATTTTATGCTTCTGGATAAAATTTGGTTTTCTTTTATATCTAACCAACAGTAAAAAATGACTGGGCTTTGTCTTTGAAGACGGTAAAATTACATGTCATGTCAACTGCCCATTTCTTTGTGTTAAAGGGGTCATGTGATGCGATTTCAATTTTTCCTTTCTCTTTGGAGTGTTACAAGCTCTTGGTGCATAAAGAAGATCTGTAAAGTTGCAAAGACTAAAGTCTCAAATCCAAAGAGATATTCTTTATAAAAGTTAAGTCAACCACGCCTATCTAAAACGGCTCGGTCTAACACGCCTCCACATATCTACCTCATGATGTGGGAAGATTTGCATAACGCCACCCAAATGTTCACGCAAAGAAATAAGACTTTTATTCTCGCTGTAGTATTGTTGTTCCCGCCTGCCGCCGCTCACTCAAGCCGGCCTCCGCTCACTCTAGGCCACCGCTCACTCTAGGCCTCCGGCCTCCGCTCACTCTAACCCACCGTGTGTGATGCTGTGTTTCGTTGTGAAAGCGAAACTACTTTGTTTGGTCTTCCAAAAGAGGACGATATC